GAAAACACTTCCTGTTGTTTGCAGCCTAAATCCTGTTGACACTGGAGTTTTCATGGCCAAGGAGATGGAAGAATAGCTTGGAGGATTTCTCACCGGAGTGAGCTAGAAGGAATCTCTGTATTTGTGTCTGAATGTAGATTTCATAGATATGCGTCTCAGGGTGGAGTTGTGGACCCAGTGATAACTCTGGGAAATTTGTTTAGTAGAATTTAGTAGAATTTTATTTGTTTAGTACTTCCCTGGGAATTTATTTAGTAGCCTTTTAACCTGCCTTTCATACAGGAGCTCCAGGAAGCATACATTGTATGTTCCCTCCTACTTTTTCCCACAACGACTCTGTGAAGTAGGTTCGGGTTAGTTAATAAGTGGGCCAGAATCATCTAAGGAGTTTCAGTGACTGGGGTGTGTGTGATTTCAATGTAGTTCTCCTCAATACAGCACATTAACTGTTAGAAGCAGTATCAGGCAATATATGAAATATTAAATTATGTTAAATTAATAGGACAAACTGAAACACCTCTTTATGGGAATCCTGGTTTGTGGTGCTGGAAAGTCTGCTTTGTGTTGGCTAGAAACGTAAGTTCCACTTTCCTCTCAAAACGTGCTTGCTCTTAGCCTACCCTACCCTGCAGTGCCATTATGAATTAATACTTAGATAAAGTGAGGACAAAAGATAAAGATCTCATAAATGTAAAAACTACAGATATTTTTCAACTTGTTAAACCAGTCAGTGGCAAAAATCCTGCTCCATCTATGTAGATCCAGAGATAAGATAGCTGTGGTGGTTTTCAAATCCTCACAATATTTGAGGGTAAGTTACAAGAAATTGGTGACCATGTTCCCTACTGATGAGAAGTTAAATGAGGAACTGAGCCTTTTAAAATCCATTTTGGACCATCTTCTTAAAGTTGATTTCAGACTACAGTTGGAGGAGCAGCATGCTAAGAAAATGGATGGTCAAAGTCATGTTTTGATATGTTTTAAAATGGCTTTATCAATTATCTTGATTTCAGAAGAAGTCAAGATGCGTATGGTTTTTCAAACTATAATTACTGTATGTAACTGCAACAAAGATGGCCTCTTTCATCTTTTTTTTTTAACTTCCTAGCATCAGTATTCATTGTCTGAAATGTGTGTGTGTAGTGGGGGGGAAGAATCTTGTATTTCCTGAATCTGAAACTTGAAATGTTTCAAATGGGATTATGATTACCTTATTGTGTTTAGAGAACACCCTGGAGTTGTATCCTGGTCTTTTGACTTATGAACATTTCAACTTACAGTGGACCTACCACAGGGATACTTATGACCCAGACTCAAAGTTCCAAGTTTACCCCCCCCCCGTCACATGACTGAACCACCAGGCCACATTTATAGCTGTTTGCAGCACCCTGTGGCCATATGAATGTGCTTTAGAACGATTTTGTTGAAAATCGGAAGTTACTTCTGATTTTTGCCAAAACTGCACCCATGGCAAGCCTTCTAAGAGGCTTTTTTTGCCCAGAAAGGCAAAAAACGGAATGCGGGGGGGGGGTGCACAGCACCCCCCTATGCTCCGTTTTTGGGCCCCCTGGGTCTTAGGGAAGCCTTCTGGTGGGGCGTTTTTGCTCCCACGAAGCTTCCCTAGGGCCAAGGAAGGCAAAAATGGAGCATTGGGGGGCAAAGCATGCCCGTTTTTGCATCCTGGTCCTCAGGGAAGCCTCCTGGGTAAAGCAGTAAGACAGCGAGGGAAATCCCAGCACAACTGATAATCGGAACAGCTGATCATTGGTGGGGAGAAATACCTTAAGGAATGACTGGGCGGGGAAGAACGCAGTCAGAGATGTCCGGCATGAGTGTGATGTTGTGCAATAAGGACTGACTGGGCAGGGAGGGCCGAGCTGGGCTGAAATGAGCAGGACCAGCCAGGGGTACAATTTGCCGGTACTCCAAACTGCGCAGAATCATAACAACCGGTTCTATGGAACCGGTCTGAACCGGTAGAATCCTACCCCTGGATGGGTCACATTTTATGAAGATCACGATTTTGATAGGCAGGTTCCACCATGATTGTAAATTAAAGACTATCTGTATTTTTAACACATCTGTTTTAAAAAACCTCTGGATTTGGGGAAGTTGTTCTTCCAAAGTTAGGAAATTTTCTGCAAAAACATTTCTTTGGTGGAAAATAATTTCACTTGAAGGAATTCTTCAGTTTTACAAAATTAGTGCTATAGCACAATAAAGGAACAGTTGGAATGGATGATATTCTCTTCTAGGCAACTGGGACTAACTTTTTTCAGATCTTCCCTAAAAATGTGAGATTCCTGACATGCTCAGTGTTTCAGTCTGAAATTATCATGTTAATATTTCAGCACCTTTATCTACTTGCCCGAATGAAGTCTGATTTCCTTTAAATTTAGTATTATATGTAAGTATATAAATTTAGTATTATATATAAGTAAAGCATTAATTCTGTATAGGTTTAACAAGCAACTTTGACTGGATTCATCTGTGGATGTTTTGGGGTAAATATTTCTAGGACCATATTATAAGCCCACTGTTTTTTGTTTTGATATACCCACATGTCAATGCTTATTGACTGGGTTTTTCAAACTTTAAGATGTGTAGGCCAACTCCCAGAATTCATTCTGGCTGGGGAATTCTGGGAGTTGAAGTCCACACACCTTATAAATTGCCAAGATTGAAAAACACTGAAATAGGCCCACTGCAGTGATATAAAATTGCATACAAAATTCATGTAAAATAATGAAAAATTGACATAGTGGGTACATGTGTACACATAAAAAACACTGAAATATAATCCAAGTAAAGATAACTTTGTCAAATCCCCGTTTGGGTCATGGAATCTTTTGTGGTTTTCTTGGCTTTCATCATTAATTCTCTCTTATTTTCTGTTTCGAACGGATGAAATGTGCAAAATACATCCCATAAAAACGAACTGGCAACAGATTTAGAGTTCAGAGGAGTTACTGAGGTCACTGTAATTTCAACTCCCTCGGGATAATTGTAAGATGTTTATTTTTCTCTAGAGTGATGAGGGAGAAAGCAGACAAAATATATTGTGTTAGTCTAAAGCTTCTGTGACAGTATACAATGTTGTTTCTAGTGTTAGTAATTTCAGTATCTCTAACAATTGAAGTTTGATTTTAATCATTTGTTTGGATACACCAGCAGTTATCAAATTGTTCAGATTTTAAGGAATGTTTGCCCTGAAGCTCAATCTTTACTGCATTTTCTACATAGGTTTTAAAGCTGTGAGTTACCCCTTTCCTTTCCTCTTTCCTTTCCCTCTTCCTGTCTCCCTCCTTCCCTCCCATCTATATTGGAGTATGATAGCCATAAGGCTGTAAGAACAATATTAAAAACATGCTATAGATAGAAACACACAGGGCGATTACTGTAGCATCACTGCCCATTGTCCCCTCTTTTTTGACAGCTTTCAGATTGCAACTGTTTTGGTTTGCACTCTTATCATTATTTTATATGCAGAAATACAGTAAATATTACGCTGCTGCTGTGCTCTTTGTTCACACTGGTATAGAGTATTCAGTTTGTTACCTCACATATGGGCCAAATAGCACATCGGAAAGATATCTGTAATGGAATTTGGGTCATGGCAGGGATGGGTAGCTTGTCAAAGGAGTTTCTTAGCTTGTGAAACTCCAGGTCACAAGATGTGGCTGGTTGATACAATTTGTAATAGTTACCTTGAGGTAAAATGGTTGGCCTATCAATGTAATAAGGATGAGTGAATTTCACAGAACAGGAGATACAGCAGATGCATAATGGCTAAATGAACACTCCAGTCCCTGTATCATTCTGTCTGCTGGAGAACAACTGCGTGTGAAGGTGGTTTTTTTTCCTTATCTGTGGGGCCAGGCAAGTTTTTGGGTAGCTGATCACATTTAATGAAATTCCTCTCTATCTGAGGGTTGTCAGACACACACATAAAATTTTCAGTTGCAAAGCGAAGGGTTGCCTTTTCTTCCTATATTCTTTAACTAGCTTAATTACAGTAGTTTCCTGAGTGATTTTCAACCTTTTGGATTAATGTTTTAATTAATAGCATTAATATTTTAAAATCTTCTCATTGAAGGTTCATTGTTCTCGTTAAACGAACGTTATTATTATTTTGTTCGTTGTTTGCTTGGGTGCTTCTTTTTTTGGGTGGGGGAGAAGAACAAAAACGTATTTTATGTAAAATAAAAATGTTCTGTAGTGTAGATTCCCTGAAACGCGAAAGAGGATGTTGAGCTGATGATCCAGTAGAGCTGTTCTTCATTCGGATTCCTTTTAGAAAATTCCTGGACTTTGTGGCATATGTTTTGAATAGCTATTGGCATTCATATTTTCTTTCGTTCATGAGTAAAGGAAGGATTGATAGAAGAGAATATTTGTAGCTCAGGATTGAACTGTGTGGTCCTTGGTGCACTCCGAGCTTGGTGGCTTTCTGGCAGATGTTTCATTACCAAACTAGGTAACACCATCAGCGCACCGATGGCGTCACTTAATTTGGTAATGAAACGTCTGCAAGAAAACAACCAAGCTCAGAGCACCAAGGAGCCCAAAAAGGAATGCTAGGAATGGGAGGTGGGTTTCCTGGAACTGGAGCAAAGAATAAACAAAAATCAGGGCCGGGTGTCCTCTTCAGAGGTGGTATTCAGCAGGTTCTGACCAGTTCTGGAAAACCAGCAAATCCCACCTCTGACTGGCCCCGCCCCCATCTCTTCTCCGCCTCCCGAATCCCAGCTGATTGGCTGGGTCTTCTTTGGTTGCCCTGCACAGGAGAATGGAGCTGGAAAGCAGGTTAGTGGGGTGGGGAGGGAATGGGGATTTTACAGTATCCTTCCCCTGGAGTGGGGTGGGAATGGAGATTTTGGAGCGTCCTTCTCTTGCCACGCCCACCAAGCCACACCCACAGAACCGGTAGTAAAAAAATTTGAATCCCCACCACTGGTCTTCTTGACTTCCTTCTCTGTCCCATCTTCTACTTCTTGCAGCTCAGCTGATCAGTAGCGCGCCAGCGCCATGGCTTCTGGAGGGGAAGACCTGGATGACTGGGCAGGCACCAGTCTGGTCGACCTGACCTCATCTGAACTGGCAGCCACCCAGGCTTCCATGATTGACAACGGGGAAGATTTTGAAGTCCTGGATAGTGCCGATGACGGGGATTTAAGTGGTCTCCCGCCGCTGGAGGATGTCCCAACCAGCTCTGCCAAAAGAGACGACCAAGAAACCAAAGTGGAACATCCGACTAAGGAAGAGTCCGAGGAGAGCCAGGAATGTCTTGATGTTTTAGGTGGGAGCCATAGCTTTTGTCTACCTCTCTGCTGCTCTTCTCGCCGCCGCCCACGTTCCCTGAGTTTCTCTTTTCCAGGTGGTGGGGAAGAACTGTCACTGCATTTATGGCCCGTCTTCATTCACATGCACACCCCATATCATCCGGCATGCAGAGGTGGTATTCAGCCAGTTCTGACAGGTTCTGAAGAACCGGTAGTGGAAATTTTGAGTACTTCGGAGAACTGGAAAATGCCACCTCTGACTGGCCCCACCCCCATCTATTCTCTGCCTCCCAAGTCCCAGCTGATTGGCTGGGTCTTCTTTTGTTGCCCTGCATAGGAGAACGGAGCTGGAAAGCAGGTTAGTGGTGTGGGGAGGGAATGGGGATTTTACAGTATCCTTCCCTTGGAGTGGGATGGAAATGGAGATTTTACAGTATCCTTTCCCTGCCACGCCCACCAAGCCACGCCCACAGAACCGGTAGTAAAAAAAATTGAATGCCACCACTGCTGGCATGTATAGGTAGTCCTCAACTTATTACCATTATGCATCCTGCACATCACAGTTACAAGTCACGAGAGTTGCAAATTGCCCCACCCACGTTAAATCAACGCCGCAGTTGTTAAGCAAGCCAGCGCTTTGCTATGGGCCACTTTTGCTGAAAATCAGAAATAAACGCTGTTTTTCAGTAAAAAAAACCTTTGTAAAATGTGATCGTGTGATGTTGGGATGCTGCCAAAAGCCACAGTATGCAGTCACGCAACTTCAGGACGGGGGACCACCATTTTGAACTTTGGAGCCATCTTCTAAGTACCCTCAGGGAGGTCCATTGTTGCTTTGAACAGTTGTTAAGGGGCTGGTTGTAAATTGAGGACTGGGGCAGGTACCTCTGGGTTTGCCTCAAGCTCCTTCCCTGCGGATGGGATGGGATTCAGAATTCTCACACTAGGTACTGCGGGGCTTGCAGTCTTTATTAAGGGCGTCTCTCTGTTCCACATATTTGTAGTCCTCAACTTGCAACCATTCATTTAGTGACCGCTCAAAAGTCACACCAGCACTCAAAAAAGTGACTGACAACTGCTCCTTGCACTTATGACCGTCACAACGTCACCACAATCATGTGATCAAAATTTGGGAGCTTTGTGTTTAGGATGGTTGCAGCATTCTGTGGTCGTGTGATCACTATTTTGCCACCTTCCCAGCTGGCTTCGGACAAGCAAAGCCAATGGGGAAAGCTGGGTTCACTTAACAACCACATGGGTCGTTTAACTGCAGTGATTCGCTTAACAACCCTGGCAAAACCCCCAGAGATTAGAATGGCCCCCACTCTAATTCTCTTCCGGAAGGCGCTGAAAACCCGCTTGTCGACTAAAAAGATACTTCTTTCATCTTTTTAGCTGCCCGAAAAAGGGAGTGGGGGAAAACAAGGCATTCCTTAAATGCCTAGATAATCACCCCGGTAGCCCAAAGTTGTCGGAGCGTAAGAAGGTTATTGGAGAGCATGATGGATGACTCTTGGAGATGGATGTGTCCCATTGGAGAAGTCACATTCAGGGGGTGGGGGGAAGATCAGGGTCAAGGGGGAAATGTATAACGTAATTTAGTATTGGCTGCACCCAGCTAATCGCCAACGTGGCCGCTTCTAATAAATCAATTTTCTTTTCTCTGAGATGTGGGTAGAGACTTTTAATTTGAATGAGGGTGGATTTGTTGGAGCCCTGACATTGGTTCTGCCAGTGGGCCTGGGGAACCCAGCGCGGGATGGAGCCCATTAAATGGCTCGTGTGATCTGTCGCCGGGGCGGGGGGGTGGGGTGGGGACGATTTTATTATATTAATTTATTTGGTGGTTCTTACTAGTTTTATTGCTTTAAATGTGGTTTTATACCTTGTAAGCCTCCTTGAGTCACCATGGGTGAATAGGCGGCAATATAAATCCAATAAATAGATAGATGATAAATAGGTAGATAGATAGATAAGATAGATAGATAGATAGATAGATAGATAGATAGATAGATAGATAGATAGATAGATAGATAGATAGATGATAGATAGATAGATAGATAGATGATTGTAAAATGGGGCACAGCTCACTTAGCAACCAAAATACTGGTCTCAGTTTGGGTTGTAAGTTGAGAGCTACCTGTAGCTCTAAGTTGGGGCATTCTAACAACTTACTCCTCTTAATCCCATCTCCAGGGAATGGCTTATTGAAGAAGAAAGTCATCTTACCAGGCCAAGGTCAGGAGAGCCGGCCAGTCAAGGGCCAGGATGTGACTATCCGGTTTAAAGCAACGCTGGAAGATGGGACGGTGGTAGAGGAGGACCCCAGGCTCACCTTCACTCTGGGGGATTGCGATGGCATCCAGGTGCATGTCTGTCCTGGTCTGTCATTGTCGTGACCAGCATTGTCGAGACCACCATCTCTCTGACCATGGGGAAAAAAATGGGGACTAGAAACTTATTTCCATGTGATTAGATATTTAAAAGGGATCAGCAGTTAAACTCGCGTAGCTTGTCCGCTGCAAAGCAGACAGCCCGGGTTTGAGACCCGAGGGCTGACGGGGTGAGCTCCTGTTCCTTGCCCCAGCTCCTGCCCACCTAGCAGTTTGCAAGCATGCAAATGTGAGTAGATAAATGGGTAGCACTTTGGTGGGAAGGTAACAGGGTTCCGTGCGCCTTGGCGTATAGCCATACGGTCACATGACCACGGAAATGGTCTTCAGACAACGCTGATTCCCTCGGCTAAGAAACGGAGTTAAGCACTGCCCTCTAGAGTTGGACATGACACAGAAAACCTTTACCTTTAGATATTTAAGGGCAATCCAGAGAGAATGGCAGGTTGGCTTATATCTGTTTGGAAAAGTTATCCTCATTGACTTTTAGTATACAGCCTTTAGTCGAAGGATTGGAGCTCCATCCTTAGGGATTCTTCTCCTTTTGAGAAGAAATTGGTAGCTGGTGTCCTAAATTGTTATAAGCAGCAAATAAACAGGGACCAAGGGAAAACATCTAACTGGCTGATAGATACTGTAAGCACCGAGTCTTTAGCTCAGTGTTACTCAACCCTGGCAACTTTTAAATTGTGTGGACTTCAACTCCCAGAATTCCCCAACCAGCTGTTCTGACCCAGGTATCATTCAAATTAAGAAAACACAAACTGTGTGTAAAAGCAAACCTTTTTTAATGCGACACTGGGAATTCTTTGCATTCCCAGCCAAAACACAATCATCTGAGATAAGAGCATGCCTTTCAGGGTTGTAAAAGACTGCCAAGAAACAGAAGTCCAATTACTGAGAAATATCAACTGACAATAGTTCCAGCAAAGACAAACCAGAGTTTGCAGGGCTTCAATGAGGAATCAGAGTCTAATGAACTTTGCTTCCTGCAAAGAACGCAGTCCCAAGGGCTGGTTTTATCCCTTATGGGAAGGGCAATCATCTCCCAGCCTTACTCTTGAGTCGCCCCTGCTGCTTCAGCTGCTTGCTCCTTCTAGCAGCCCTGCACAGACGTGAACTGGGAACAGGCTCCTCGGGGTCCTTTGCTTCACTGCCACCAGGCTTCGAAGGCTGTGCCCCACTCTCAGGTAGTCCTGGCCCCCTTCCTGCATCAGCTTCAGGAGCCTCGTCCAAGTTCTCGCCAGGCTCCCTGACTGGTTCCCTTTCGTTCTCTGCCGTCCACACCTGCTGCCGGCGAACCACAACCTCAGCCATGGTGGCTGGGGAATTGTGGGAGTTGAAGTCCACGCATCTCAAATCTGTCAAGGTTGAGAAACACTGTTCTAGTGGGGTTTCTGAATGACCATTTGTCTTCCCTGCACAACCTCCTTACTCCCCAAATAATTTCCCTTTTCTTCCCGCCCCCCTCCTCTTCACAGGCCCTGGATCTCTGTGTGCAGCTGATGGACATGGGGGAGACAGCACTCATCACTTCGGATGGGAAATACTGCTTCGGCCCACAGGGGAGGTACATGAGGAAGTGGACAGAAGCCAAGTTGTTGGCAAGGGTGGGCTGATTTAGCAGCAGCAGCAGCAGCTAGCTATGCTGTCTATAGGGAGTGTTTATTTGGAGGGAGTTGTTGAGGTAATTCCCCTTTAGGAGAATGAGCGCATACAGGGAGACGTATTTGAGAGAAGTGTTTGAATAAAACACACACAGCACACAGATACACTGTACACTAAATGTAGGATTTTACTTCCAGAAATGTTAAGCAAAGTTCAAGATAAACAGTCCAAAGTCATTCACAGGTTAAATCAGTCAGTTTTCAATCCAGGGGTAATCCAAATATCAAAGTCCAGTGTCAGAAACAGTTCAGTATCAGACTTACATTAAATCCAGTGATATCAGTCAATTAGAAGAAATGGAGGAACGGCAATACTTTCCAACAGAAGGAAACAGAGATACACTCCTACCCTCTTCTGAGACTCAGACTAAACACACCAGGTTTCTGGCTCCATCTTATGGCCGTTTGAGAAATCACACCCAATTGCATGCTCTTGCATTCCCTTAAAGATATAGTACTAAAATGTTTATCCTGGTTTATATATTTCTAACCCAAATACCTGTTCGGTGACTTGTATTCCTAACAGGAGTCTCTCTGGATTTCCAGCTGGTTGACAGAAAATCCAGAAAGAGTGATTGCTCCTTAAAACAGTTGGGTTTTTTTTTTCTGTTAGCTAAAAGTTGGGCGAGGTGGATCCCTGATCCCCTTGTGTTCTTCTAAAGAGGATGAAATAGATCTTCTGCTTACCGCCTCATGCATAGAAGCAGCCCACTTTGAGAAAACGGAAGCATTCAGAGGCAACAGAGTCTGGGGTCTTTGGACTCTTAACTGTGGAATTTCCTAGAGAAACTTTGTTGGACGCAGGTTCTGGGTTAACAATCCCCTAGACTTAACCTAGCCCATAATACTTGGATCAGCCCAGCCATGAAGGTTATAAATGGAGCTTTTGCTGCAACAACTAACCTATGAAGTACTGGGAAGAAATCCTTCATGGGATTTGTCTGTTTGATATTTATAGAATCACAGGGCTTAGAGATCTTCTAGTCTGCTTCCCTGCCCAAGGCAGGAGTCCTCCTATCATTTCAGACAAATAAGAGATCTTTTCTTGAAGATCCCCACAGATGGAGCACTTGTAAGCTGTTCCACTGCTTAATAGTTCTCTTCATTTCCAGGTTGGGAACTCTCTCTGGTGAGCTTGCACCCATTGCTTCTTGCCCTATCTTTAGTGTTAGGGAGAGTAAATGGATGCCCCGTTCCCTTTAAATATTAGAAACCCGTTTCCCCCCCCCTCTCCCTTCAGTTTTCTCTTCATTAAGCTAAACATATCTAGTTCCTTTCTATAGAATTGAGCGTGTAAAGCAGGGGTGTCCAACCTTTCACCTTCCCTGGGCCACATTAGAAGATGAAAATTTGGTTTGGGCCGCGCATAAAATAAAATAACAGTAACGATACCTGATCATCCCAAAAAACCATAGAAAACATAGTTAACATATTAAATTTATTTGGAAATGAAGTTAGTGAGATGCTTTTATTATTTATTATTAATTATTTATTAAAAATTATTTTTTTTATCACTTTTTTTTATCACGGTTTATTTTCCGGCCAAATTTTGCGGAAGGGGGGGAAGAAAGCTCGCCCGCCTCGTGCCTACCTCTCCTCCTGCAAATGGCCCGGCTGGATGCAGCAGGACTGGAAGGCAGAAGCAGCAGTGGCGGCGGGGGCAGAAGCGGCGGCGGCAGCAACAGCAGAAGGTGGCGCTCTGACGGCACCCGCCTTTTCTGTTGCTGCTTGGCATGGTGCTCGCCTCGCCCTGCCTCGCGCCTGCCTCTCCTCCTCCTCCTCACTGGCTCTGGCACGAAGGTTGGGGTGGGCACTGGGCCGCATTACGAGGCGACCTGGGCCGCATGCAGCCCGTGGGCCGCGGGTTGGACAAGCCTGGTGTAAAGGTCTGCTCAGTCCTTTCTAACTAAATTACAATTTCCTATAAAAGTCCAGGATGGGCTTTTTAAATTTATTCCTGTCTTTTGCAACCGGAGCCAAAGACTGTTTCTAATTTTGATGACTAAACCAGCATTAAAAATCCAGTTACCTGCTTTTTAAATTATATATTTAAACCAGCCAGGAAGTTGTCACCAAAGGAAGCATGTCAAGATAGAAGTGACGTGGGAAAGTGAAGAGAAATGCTGGTTTGCTGTCCTGCAATAAAGCCTGTGCAGCGATCCAGATTCAAAGAAGAAAATGTGATTCAGAGTGTACACGCATTGTGTTATGTGTAGCTCCTGTTGTGAACACTGGAAAGTAGAAGCAGCCGATGTGGGGAAAGGCATAGCTGCTTTAATGTTCCCAGCAGATAATCTGTCCACATGCTCTGCAACATACATTTTGTGTCTTGAATCCATAAATGTGCACAGTCTTAGGAGATCATAGTCTAGTACTGTGATGGCGAACCTATGGCACAGGTACCACAGGTGGCACGCAGAGCCATTGTGTGGGCACGTGGGCCCCAGCCAAATTTACCTACACTGCGCATACGCGTGCCTCCCAGCTGATTTTTGGCCCGTTTGAGGCCGTTTTCGTCCTTCTGGAGGCTCGAGTAAAGCCTCTGCAGCCTCGGCAGGCCGAAAAACTGGCCTTCCGGAAATACCAGAAGTGCTGAAACGGGCCCATTTTCAGTCTCCCGAGGCTCCAGAGGTTTCCCTCAAGCCCCCGGGAGAACGAAAACGGCCTCTCCCGGGCTCCAGAAACCTCCGGAGGCTGAAAACGGGCACTTCCTGTATTTCCAGAAGGTCCGTTTTTTGGCCTCCTGAGGCTGCAGAGGCTTCCCTTGAGCCTCTGGGAGGGCGAAAATCAGCTGGGAGGCCGAACAGGCCTCAAACAGGCCAAAACTCAGCTGGGAGGTATGCACATGTGCAGTGCAGGTAAGGGCAGGGTGTTGTTCATGCATGTGCGGTGGGGGGGCAGGGCACATTGCACTGTGGATGCCGATGTGCACACACTTTTGGCACACCACAACAAAAAGGTTCGCCATCACTGGTCTAGTACAGTGTTTCTTAACCTTTATAACGTGTGGACTTCCAACTCCCAGAATTCTCCGGCACATTCCCCAGTTCCCCAATGTGCTAGGGGATTCTGAGAGTTGAAAGTCCACACAAGTTGCAAAGCTTGAGCAACACTGGTTTAGTTTAGGTTGAAAAAAGGTTGCCTTAAAATTTAGTGAAAGTAGTGCTCAATGAAAAGGACCATCCTTGGTAACTGAATGTTGCATTAATTGAATCTTGGATCTGATCTGAATACATCTATTGATCTCTTCCGAGCAGGAGTCCCGACATTCCTCCCAATGCTTCCTTAACTCTCGAGGTGGAGTTATTGACAGCCCAGGATGCCCCTGATTTGGAACTCCTTAGCGGGAAAGAGAAAGTCTCACTGGCTAATCGGAAGAGAGAATGTGGCAATTTCCACTACCAGCGAGCAAATTACGTTCTGGCCGCCAACTCCTATGACATTGCTCTCAAGGTCATCAACTCTAATACTAAAGGTACCTGATTCCCTGTCCCTCAGGAAGCCTGGCTTCTACCCAGAGCTCTGCCTGGAAGAACAATTTGTTTTGTACCAAAGTGTTGCTCAACAGCTGAAAACTAGCAGCTTAATCCTTATTTTTAAAAATGCCTCTTGAACTCTGTAATGTGGAGCAGGAGCTAATATAGATACAGGTAGTGCTTGACCTACGACCACAATTGAGCCCAAAATTTCTGTTGCTAAGTGAGACATTTGTGAAGTGAGTTTTGCCCCATTTTATGACCTGTCATGCCCCTGTTAGAATCTGACTCTGAAGGAGAGGAGGAACAGCTGACAGGGAGTGGGAGTGTGGCTCCAGAGGTTGTTCAGGAAACTGGGGAAGGGCACAGGCCGGCTGGGCATTCAGAGGAAGACCCAGGGCCATTCTTCTTCATCCTAAGGCACGCAGGGAGGAGCGGATAAGGGAGAAACATGCATGGCATGGTCTATGAGAGAGGAAAGGGCCTTGATCCCCTTCATGGGCTGCAGCTGTGAGGACTGTTTAAAAGGACAAACTGCACATGGGCCAGTGCTGGAAGCAAAGCATGAAAATATTTCTAGTCTGTCAGTTCTTATCTGGCATCCTTCCCAGTGTGTGTATTTCGATATCTGTGGACGTCTTCAAGCCCTTATCCTGCCTTGTCTCATTAATTCCTCAGTGTGGTTTGTGTTGTTTTTTTTTCTATTTATAATTTATATGTATTTTGAGTTTGAACAGAAGTTCTTTCTTTTTGCAACTGTTTGTGAGGGAGTTTTTTCTCCAGTCAATGATAATTGGACCTTTAAAGCCAGGCTGAAGGAATTAGAGGGACTTCACCTGTTTTTGTGACTGTTGCTTTTTTTACCCCACCTTGGATCATCACACAACCTCTCTTGCCCCAGTTGTTAAATGAATCACTGCGGGTGTTAAGTTAGTAACAGGACTGTTCAATGAATCGGAGTCCTGCCCCCTGTCCTGAATCATAGCTTTCTCCCAGTCCTAACTCTCGTTTCATTTCTCTCCCTGCAGTGGATTTCAGTGAGGAAGAAGAGGCAGAGCTGGTGGAAGTGAAGATAAAATGCTTGAATAATTTAGCAGCGTCCCATCTTAAGCTGGACCACTTTGAGGCCGCCCTGCGATCCTGCAATCAAGTGTTGGAGCAACAGCCAGATAACATCAAGGCTCTGTTCCGAAAGGGAAAGGTAACAGGGGCTTTGGGATCAAGGGTTTTTCAATGAGCTCACGGTCTGAGGAGGATTGGGTGATGGAACTGCCCATCAAAGGATGGCAACATTTGGCACCTCCTCCCAGGTTATATCCCAGTTCAGGCGATCCTTGACTTAATGGCTGTAATTAACAGAATAACAGAGTTGGAAGGGACCTTGTAGGTCATCTAGTCCAACCCCCCACCCTAGCAGGAGACCCTACACCAGTGGCCCCCAACCTTTTTTGTGCCACGGCCCGGTACCGGCATCACAAAATGATCCGCGGCCCGGTACTGGCATCAGCAAGCATGACAAGGCAAGGCGAGCCGAGCGACCGGCCAGCCAGCCGTCCCCCGCTTCTCCCCGCCACCTTCAACTCCTCCTTTGTACCTTTGTCGATGGGCTTCGCTTCGGGACAGTCGCTCAGCTCGCCTTGCCTTGGGTGCTGAAAGAATCCTCACACCTTAGTTTCATTCGAAGCCACACATCCCCTCCGATGAAACTAAGGCGCGAGGATTCCTTCAGGACCCAAACGCCGCTTTCCAACCGGAAAAGCTCACCCGGAAGCACTTTCTCGTCAAACAAGAGGGCGGCGCCCAGCAAACCGGCGGCCCTGTAGGAAATGTTCCACGGACCGGTACCAGTCCACGGCCCGGTGGCTGGGGACCCCTGCCCTACACCATTTCTGGCAGATGGCAGTCCAGTCTCTTCTTGAAAGCCTCCAGTGATGAAACTCCCACAATTTCTGAAGGCAACGTCTGTTCCGTTGGTTGATTGTTCTCACTGTCAGAAAGTTTCTCCTTGTTTCCAGGTTAAATCTCTCCTTGTTCAGTTTCCATTCATTGTTCCTTGTCTGGCCTTTGGGTGCTTTGCAAAATAGCTTCATCCCTTCCTCTCTGTGGCAGCCCCTCAAATATTGGAAGACTGCTATCATGTCTCCCCTGATCCTTCTCTTCACTAGACTAGCCATGCCCAGTTCCTGCAATTGTTCTTCGTACGATTTAGCCTCCAGTCCCCTTAGTCATCTTGGTTGCTCTTCTCTGCACTTTTTCTAGAGTTGAACCCAGAATTACAATTGTTAAGTCATTGCAGTCATTAAGTGGGTCACCACATGACCACATGCTTTTTTATGGTGGTTGTTAAATGAACTCAGTAATCATTCAGCCAACGCAGTGGTTGTTTAAGCAAATCCATTTTTTCCATGGGTGTCTTTTGCCGGAAAGTGGAAGTAGCTGCTGGAAATTGGCAAAAAAAACATTACTAATTGCGGTATCTGACATCATCCCAGAAAGCTGCAAACAGCTGTAAAGGTGAGCCAGCTGTCAAGGACCCAAAATACGATCACATGGCTGTGTATGTGTGTGTGTGTGTGTGTGGCCATTGTATTTTTGAAATTGGGTCGTAAGTAACTTTGTGGGAGTCTGTTGTAACTTCAAATGGTTGCCATCAGGTAGGTCTGGCAGAAGCTTTCGAAAGACCTGCGTTAAATCCGAGATTGCTCAGCCTTTTTCTCTTGTCTGCTGATCTAGGTTTTGGCTCAGCAAGGGGAATACAGTGGGGCCATCCCAATCTTAAAGGCTGCTCTGAAGCTGGAACCATCAAATAAGGTAAGACTGGTGTTGTAATGACGAGGCAGTCGAGTTGCTTGATCATGATCAACTGAATCATGATGAACTTAATTGGCGTCTAGTCTTGCATTTATACACATTTTTAGTAATCCTCCAACATTGGTTAACTTTGGTTACTGCTTAACTTTCGTTACTGTTTAGCATAATAGTAATTAACACAATTAATTATCTCTAGTTAAAGTCTAACGTATGTTTACTTCCTCTCTCTAATCCTCCTTTAGATTAGTGACTTTGTTTGCCTGAGTTGTATTTGCTTGTAAACATTCTTTATCTGAGGTTTGCCATCCAAGATAGGAACATTCCTGCAATTACAACTCTACAGCCTGGGAATCTGATCGTACCTGAGGCAGAGAAAACAAGCAGGGACCTATCAGCACGAAATTGTGCATACACACCTTCTTTGAAGGCTGCCAAGCTTCTGAACCCATCTGCCTGCGTTTCTTTAGATTTTTTTTCCCCCTTGCTCTATTTATTTAATAGATAAGAACCAAGAGGAAAGAATAACAAAAAGTGGGGGTGAAACAGCTCACAATCTTGCTCACACTCATATGAGGATGAAAGGATTGGCCAGTGTCATCACCATTGCTCCGGAGGGGTGTGGGGAATGGTGATGTTTGCGGGCTCCATTCATGTCCCCAGACGAAGCTGGAGCAAAGGACAGGAGCTCACCCTGCTCCACGCCTATGCTCGGACCTCAAACACAGGCTTGCTAGCCTCTAACCCAGTATCTGACCCACATAAGCTGCTGTCCTCCTTAACACAACAATAATGCTGTCAGGATTCCAGCAATTGCTCTAATTAAATCATGATTCTCGAGCCAAACTTCAAAAAAGCTTCAATTTATACTCCCCCTTCATTTTCTACAACTCAGGGTATGTGATAATGCCTCTTATTTTCCCACGACAACCCTGTGAGGTGAGTTGGACTGAGACAGAGTGACTGGTTGAAAAATCACCTGGGGAGCTTAAATGCTTAGAGAAGACTAGAACTCAGAACTTTAACTAGTATACCAAATGGATTGTCTGTCTGCCTGTCTGTCTGTCTTTCCTTCCTTCCTTCAATCATTTTCTTCCTTCTCTTCCTTCCTTCCTTCTCTTTCTTTCTTTCTTTCTTTCCTTCCTTCCTTCCTTCCTTCCTTCCTTCCTTCCTTCCTTCCTTCCTTCCTTCCTTCTTTCTTTCTTTCTTTCTTTTCTTTCTTTCTTCATAAAAACAGACACATAGAGTGCAGTGATTTTTTATTAAAGTCTCCATGTTTTGTTGTAAGTGTCCATAGATATTGCAGGCGGAAGCAACACATTCATTTGTTGCAAATAACAACCAGGTCTTGAACCAACAGACTAATTAGAGCCATGAATTTATCTTTCCAGTGCTAAGAACTACTGTTAGCAATAAAAAGGCAGAGAGAACCCATTTTTGTTCTCCAGCCATCAATTTCCATGTAGTAGGTATATAGTTTTAAAAGGATATGGTCACCCCAAAATATTAAACCATGATTCAAAAATTCAGTATATGCATTTACTTGTTTGCCAAATACAATCCCATAGGATATTGGAGAAAAAATTGTTTTTTAATGTAATGTTACTTTGCCTTTGCTTATTAAACACCTTTCAACTGAAAATAGTCATTGATAGTAATGTGTTAAGTCACTAGTAGAGTTAGTCCTTGACGTACAACCCCAGTTGAGTCCATCATTTCCATTGCTAAGCAAGGCAGTTACTAAGTGAGTTGTGCAGCATTTTACAGTGGTTTTTGCCACAGTTATTAAACGAATCACTGCAGTTAAGTGAAACATATGATTGTTGAGTAAATTTGGCTTTCCCCATTGACTATGCTTGTCAGAAGATGGCTGGGAAGGATGCAAATGGTGATCATATGACCCCGGGCGGATAGAAGACAATAAAAGAATCTCTGTAGCTCAGAGTTGAACAGTGGAGTCCTTGTTGCTCTCTGAGCTTGGTCGTTTGCTTGCAGATGTTTCATTACCAGGCTAGGTAACATCATCAGTGCTGGTGGGTGTGGGGGCTTGCTCCCTGTTTACATACAATAGCTTGCCCTGAACAGCCAAGCTCAGAGAAGACCAAGGAGCGATAGAAGACACTCGGAAGGCCTGAAGCTGGAGAACATCCATATCTATATTCCCTCTTATAAACGGTGGCTCTGGGACCATCTTTGGGAAGAAGATTTTGGGGCACTTGGGAGGGGCAAGGAAAATGTCAGAAAATGTCACCCTCTTTCTTCCAAATTGGGGCTACTTGAGATGGGATACTTTGGGAGGGCAATAGTCAAAATTTGGCTCAGGTGACCTTCTCTTGCTCCAAGGTTGCCCATGAAGAACAGACCACAAGGAAGGTTGCAGCCTTCATGCCCTGGCCAAGATGTTTTTTTCTGGAATTGTGTTGGCCAACTTGGCAGTAGACAATTTAGGTTAGTGGTTAAGGCACCAGGCTAGAAACCAGGAGACTGTGAGTTCTAGTCCTCCCTTGGGCATGAGAAGCTTGCTGGGTGACTTGGGGCCAGTTCTTTTTTTCTCAGCCTGACCCACCCTCACAGGGTTGCTGTTGTGGGATAAATAGGATGAGGAAGGCGTATTAGATACATTGGCCGCCTTGAGTTGTTCATAAAAATCATAAATTAAATAAACAAATAAACCAGGTGCGCTGATGTAGCAGCGTTCTTCTCGCCTTCTTAATGGTACCCCCAATCACGCCATTCTCTGTTTTTCGTTGACCTCCAGACCATTCACACTGAGCTCTCAAAACTGGCCAAGAAGCACGCTGACCAAAAGAGCATCGAGGCAGAGATGTACCGCAAGATGCTTGGGAACCCTGGGTCCAGCAGCCCCCCAGCGAAGTGCAAAGATAAATCCTCCTGGGTAAGTGGCCAGAATGAAGTATTCACTGAGCCAGAGAGGTAGGGAGAAAAAGGGAAATGGATTGGATATCTTGGGTACTAACAGCTGTATGATGAGTGCAGAAAGCTAGTGGGAACTTTCTGCAAAAACTTCTGTTTTTCGCCTTTAGAACTGACCTGCCTGTCAAAATTCCACCTTGCTTTCTGTGCTCATCATAAGATGTTGCTTTCTATCTTCAAAGCCTAAACAGGTTAGGGCCTGTTTCTCTAAGGCAGGGGTCCTCAAACTTGGCAACTTTAAGACTTGTGGACTTCAACTCCCAGAATTCCCCAGCCAGCCATTTTGGCTGAGGAATTCTGGGAGTTGAAGTCCACAAGTCTTAAAGTTGCCAAGTTTGGAGACCTCTGGTCTAAGGCAATGGTTCTCAACCTTTTCTTCACCACCAACACCCCCCCCCCCCCCGGTCTTTTAAATACCTTTTGTGGCCATGGACCTTCAGGATTTAAATCATAACATTTTTCAAGCTTTAGTGGACCACCCCCATGATGACATCACAGACCCCAGGGATCCGTGGACAACAGATTAAGAACCACTGGTGCAAGGTCTTTTTTATTATTCAAACTTGGCAACTTGAAGAGATACGGGCTTCAACTCCTAGCATAGCTGGCTGAGGAATTCTGGGAGTGGAAGTCTACATCTCTTCAACTTGCCTTGTTTGAAAAAAGAGGCGGATCAGGCAAAACTCAGAAAAATATCCCCATGCACACCTATGGGAGAGGTAGCGGGGCAGTAAGTTTCCCACTCCTCCATTGTAAAATCTCCCCTTTCCAAGGCCTGGGACCCAGAGTGGAGCTCTTGTTGAGGAGTCAGAAAGTGTTTTCGGAATTTTCCCAATGTGCTTACAAGAGTTGCTTGTCAGCCAACATATTGCAAACAAGGCCTGCCTCAATGGTGGAGGAATAAAATGAGAGGGTGGTGTTGAAAAAAAAAAACAAGTTTGCAAGTTGGAGCAGCAAAATAGGACAAAAACATAAGGAGTGGTACAAGATTATGTAAAACAGAGGTTCCCAGCTTGGCGGCCCAGCAGGGGGAAGGAGAGGGGATTGTTCCCTGTGAGTGGTAGGTAGGCATGCACAAGCGTGTGCAGATATTTTAACTAATGGTTCTGTGGGCAAGGCTAAGTGCGAGTGGCTAGGTGGGTGTGGCCATGTGACTGGGTGGGCGTGGCTTTTTTGTATGCAAAAAAGCCCCTGTGCTCTGTTTTTTGGCCACCTGGGCCTCAGGGAAGCCTCGGGGGGGCGGCGTTTTTGCTCCTGAGGCCCAGGAAGGCAAAAAAATGGAGCATCGGGGGGGGCCCACACAGCAGCACATACACTCCACATGCCCCTTTTTGCTTCCTGGGTCTCAGGGAAGCCTCCTGGGCGAAGCAGTAAGACAGCTAGGGGGAACCTGGCACAGCTGATCATTGGAACAGCTGATCGTCGGGAGGAAAAAAAAGAAGAAATATTGGTTCGGCCAAACGGTAGCATTTTTTCACTACCGGTTCACATGAACTGGGTCGAACCGGTAGAATCCCACCACTGGTGCAGCTCCATCTGTATGAGTTGTGGGCTTACGCAGCCCGGTTCCGAATGGGCCACGGCCTGGGTACTGGGACACGGCCCAGGGGTTGGGAGCCCCTGATATAAAAGGTTTGATTTTTAGTTACTTTGATTGAGCTCAGTTCATCAGTAACTGAGGTTGAACTTGCTTGGGATAAACACCTGTCCATCATCTGACAAACGTTAAAAATAAACTAAAAATAACGACAATATAAAAATAATAAAAACAAAGGACAAACTCAAAGGGCAGGCTCGATGGACCACTAGGTCTTTTTCTCCCATTCGTTTTCTGTGGTTTCTCTGAGCTGCTCAGGATATGCCAGTTCCTAGGTCCGTGTTGGCGAACCTACGCCACACGTGCCAGAAGTGGCATGCAGAGCCATTTCCCCCGGCAAGCGAGGGGTCGCCCGGAAGAGCCCCACTGCGCATCCAGGTGCTCTGCCTCCCGACAGCTGATTGTCGGGTATCTGGCGCACATGTGCAGGGGCGGGGTGTGTGTGCAGGAAGTGTGCGCATGTGCAAAGATGCCTGGTGCGCGAGGGGAGGTCACGCACGCACGCGAAGGGGGCGTGGGGGGCCCAGCATGCATTGCCTTCTGGGTGCTGGTATACAAGCGAGTGCGAACACAGTTATTGGCACGGGAGGTTAACCTGTGAAAAAGGTTAACCACCCCTGTCCTAGGTCATGTGTTTTCTGAATTTTGGCAGTCACTTCTATTTTTTCCCCCCCCTCTCCTTTTTTCTCCTTCCCAGACAATTCCATGGAAGTGGCTGTTCGGTGCCACTGCCGTAGCACTGGGGGGCGTAGCCCTGTCGGTCATCATAGCAGCCAGAAACTAAGGCCAACCTGAGGTTGATGATTTTTGTGGAATCAGGCTTGGAGATTTGGCCCTTCCTTCCTCCCAGCTCCTGCCCCTCTTCCACCACCCGGCCCCTCAAGGACTGGCACACGACTTTGCACCGGTGTCCCCGTCCCGCCCCCCTGGACTGTAGGTTGACTGAGTGGGGTAGGCACAGCAGACGTGGCTCTCCTGCCCGGAAAGACTTCCCAGCCTCCAGAGTTGATGTGAACATCAATGAACCCTTTGCAGTCGAGATACCCAGGGTGGCAAGAGAGATCTTTGCACGCTGTCTGGAGCTGCAGAAGTGAGAAGAAACCCAGAGTGCCTGGGTGTATTTTTCAGGAGAGGGCAGGAAAATCGGGCCTTGGCTGGATGCTACCATTCAACTTCTCTCTCTCTCTCTCTCTCTCTTTCTCTCTCTCTCTTTTTCTCGCTCGTGTGGGTTTTTCTTCTCCCTGCGCTGTAGGTGGCCCCGCAAAGGATCCGTCAAAAATGAAGGAAGGATATTGCTGGGGTCTACCTGGCAGGGGGAAGAAAGCAAGGACTGAACAAAGTTGCACTGGCTTTAGAACAGACCTGGGAGGAGAAGCTTAGAAACTGTTTAGGCCTGGCCTTAGGACCAGGGGCAAGAGGCCAGGGCTGTGAAGATGCTCCTTTAGTGCTCAGGATTGGTTTGGGTGGCGTGAGAGGGATTTTGGTTTGTTCGACCGCCTTCCACAAAAGCTTCCTTGGAGGACCTCACGGGTTCTCTTCATTCTGGTTAGGGTAAAAATCACACCTGGGATGGCTTTCTTTTAGTCGTCTTCGGGAAGCTAAATTGGGAGTCAAGGAACCTCTCCATCTTAGCTCGAAATCTGCTTTCAAACTTTACTGGTGGCTTTTCCCCCTGACTCTCTCCTTTTTAAGCCACCCAACTTTAAAGTTAGCAGCGCCAGGTGCCACTCAAACCCAGTGCTGCTTCTCTTTGGTACAGTTTTTCACTCTCTACATTTTAAACTGTGAACAGCTGCGACATCCTCATGGTCTAATAAAGCAACATCTCTCAGCAGATTTCCTAGCCGTTCCTTTATTCCGAGGGCCGTGGAATCGTTATTTATTCACTTATTGTCCATTTATCTTCATGTAACTTTAGAACCGTAAAGCTTGAGAATCTCAAAGTAATGGAACATGAACAGGGAAGTAAAGTGGGGAAGGGACAACTTTTGGTATAGTCCTTCCCCCCCACCCCATGTGGGTAGGTAATAACCACTCCCAAAATTCCACAACCAGGATGCTGTTCTTAAAAGTTGTGTCTGTGTGTGTGTGTCTTACAGGGAGAGAGGGAAAACTTTTACTACTGAAAAATCAGATTCCCTGCAGCTATCCAAGGCTGGACTGTATGACTGTTTCTTGCAGAATCCACGCCCCCATTTGATTTAGAGTACAGATGCTCCTTAACTTACTATCACAATTGAGCCCAAAATATATGTTGCTAAGCGAGGCATTTGTTAAGTGAGTTTTGCCCCATTTTATGACCTTTTTTTTTTTTTTGGAAAGTTGTCAAGTGAATCATCGCAATTGTTAAAGTTAGTCAGACGGTTGTTAAGTGAATCTGGCTTCCCCATTGACTTCGCTTGTCAGAAAGCTGCAAAAGGTGATCACATGACCTTAAGGCACTGCAACCATCATAAATGTGAGTCAGTTGCCAACTGCCTGAATTTTGATCACGTGATTATGGGGATGCTGCAACGGTTGAAAGTGTGAAAAATGGTCATACAGTAAGTCACTTTTTTTCAATGATGTTGTTAACTTTGACCTGTTGTACGTCCAGCTGTACAGATAATCTTTGAGTTACGGCCATAATGGAACCTGCCCATCACAATCAAAACTCATGACAGTTGTAAAGCTGTCCAACTCAATTTTACCTTTTTTTTTTTGTAGTGGTTAAGCAAACGCTGCAGTTGTTAAAGCGAGCCAGGTTTTGCAGTTTTGCTGAAAACCAAAGCTAAATAGTAATAGCAATAGACTGATATACCACTTTATAATGCTCTACAGCCCTCTTTAAGTGGTTTACAGAGTTAGCATAGTTGCCCCCAACAATTTGGGTCCTCATTTTACTCACCTGGGAAGGATGGAAGGCTGAGTCAACCTTGAGCCTGATGGGGTTTGAATTGCCAAATTGTAGGCAGCTGGCTGCAGTAGAAGTAGCTTGCAGTACTGCACTCTAACCACTGCACCACAGAGGCTCATATAAGGCCAGTTTTCAGCAAAACCATCGCAAATGTGGTCATGTGATCACAGGACACAACAAATGGCCATAAGCCTAGTTGCTAGGCACCTGAAGTGTGATCGTATGACTGGGGAGGCAACCATTGAACTCTGAACCCGGTGATAAATACTGCCAGGTAGATGTGTTGGATCTAGAATGTTTCTCAATCTCAGCAACTTTTATGGACTCCAACTCCCAGAATTCCCTAGCCAGCATGTTACTTGTGAAATGAGCAGCTATATTAATATGGATGAATGTATGTGAATGAATGAATGAATGAATGAAATTTAGGGAGTTGAAGTCCAGATATCTCAAAGTGAAAATTGATAAGCATCGGTTCAGAGGTTCTCTTATTGTTGTCTTCCCCACAAATTTGTGGAGACCCTTTGAAAAATCCCATGACAGTGTCTTATCTGTTTTCCAAACACTGGCCTTCACCATCCCTGAACACACAGCCTTTCACAACCAGTGGAAGGCCTTATAGCATGGGTGTCAAACTGGTGACCCACAGGCCAGATGCATCATGCACAGGCCACATCCACCCCAGCTCCGCAAAGGCAAAAAATGCCATATGTCATGTCACGCGATCGAGTTCGACACCCGTGCCTTATAGGACGTCTGAAGTTGTTCAACAAACCCCTCCCTCCCTCCCTCTTGAAAGCTAACTAAGCCACTATCCTGTATTTTGGTAGCAGATCCCACAAATTAATGAGCATCATTGTGGAATTCCCACAAGACTCATCTTCTAAGCAGAGATTTACACCTGTTCCCATAAGGCAGGGGTGGGGGAACTATGGCCCTTTTTATAACTTGTGGACTTCAACTCCCAGAATTCCTGAGCCAGCCATGCTGAGCCATGCTAAGCCATACTGGCTCAGGAATTCTGGGAGCTGAAGTCCACAAGTCATAAAAAGGGCTATAGTTCCCCCACCTCTGCCATAAGGCAAACAATCACCTTGTAGGTTATAGTAAACTTTTACTACCCACCCTCCCAGGAAACAGATATAAAAGCTTTTCTCAATCAGGTGATACACAAATATAGTTAGGTTACCTCAGAAACACCTGAAAATGTCTATAAATATAGGTGTCCTACCGGATCAGATGCCTCTAGCCCACTCAGGAAACTGACTTAACAGGAAGCATTTGTTCAGTTTCGCTTTGGGATGAAGTAAGTTACAACTGATATATTTAGAGCAGCCCAAAGCAAGCGGAAGCTATTTTGCCCCCTCAAACACCACATGGGCAATGGGTGGGGAGGCGTCTTTATGCACACACGTATTTCAACATTGGCATATGTGTGCTGACCTGCCTGCACTCACTCCCACCCCACATCTTGGTTGGGAGTTGGGGTTTTAAGTCTTTTCTTGAAATAGGCAAAATAAAAAGTTCAATTTAAATGGGGGTAGTCGCTTGGAGCTCCCTTTCAGTATCCTGTTAAAATTTATATTTTGCTTAAGCAAGCAAAGACTCCTTTGAAATTATGTTATCAGAAGCCCACAAATGACTGTCAAGAGTGGAACCTAAAGACAGTGTAGCAGATAAATTCCCCCGTGTTCCCATATTCTTGGCAGAATTGCAAGATTAAACAAACCTACACAAAAATTCCCAAAGGGCCGTTTAAGCTTAACACACCTAGTAGAACCTTACTGGCAGTCTACCTCTTCTTCAATACCGATCCAAGAAGATGCTCCTATATAGTCACAATTTGTTCTCCTGACATCCTCGAGCATCTGCCGTAAATGACCTTCCTGCCTTTGAATGAGGATCCAGGTGCGACATTTTCTATACTGAGGGCGAAGGTTCATTCTCCGAACTTGTGGGTTGGTTTCCATTATATGGAAAATAGTGGTGAATATCTATAGCTCGGAGAACGAACCTTCACCCTCATCCTAATACCCGAGCTACAGATAATCGTTAGTATTTTCCATATTTTAAAACACAGCTAGACCTTGATTTACAACTATTTGTTTAGTGACCATTTGAAGTTACAAATGGCACTGAAAATTGATGACTGGTTATCATACAGTCACATGATCAAAATTTGGCAACTGGCATGTATTTACAACGCTAGCAGCATCTTGAGAGGGTCATGTGATCACAATTTGTGACCTTCCCAGCTGGTTTCCAACAAGCAATCAGTGGGGGTAGCCAGATTTGCTTTATGACTGCATGGTTCATTAATTACAGTGATTGCAAAATCAGTTGCAACTCACTCAGCAACCATCTTACTTAGCAATGAAAGTTCTGGTCACAAGAGTGATGTAAGTCAAGTAAGTCTACTTGTAAACTCTAGGTCAGGGCTGTCAAACTCACGGCCCAGGAGCCAGATGCATCGCTCGCTGGCCATGCCCACCCCCCCAGTTTAGCAAAGGGGAAAAAAGTCACGATATGACACATGACGACGCGAGTTTGACACCCCTGCTCTAGGCAGTGCTCGCTTAGCAACTACAATTGAAACTGACAACTGTTAGGTGAAGCCATCACTGTGAAACTGCAACTCTGTTTTCTTTGCTGAGCAGACCTGCAAATTGTAAATGTGAGAATTAATTGGTCACTTTTTCTCCACCATCGTAACTGCAAATGATCGCTAAACAGGATGGCCATTAAAGGAGGACTACTTGTTCATTGGTCAACTGGCCATTTCTGTATTGTCCTCCCAACAGCTAGTCCCTGATGGCAGGACCAGCTTGATTTTATTAGGGATTGAACAATGTTAGTGGTTCCTCCCAAGTTGTGTCCAACACTTCCTGACCTCAGGGACTCTAGCACCCCCAGCCCACCGTCCTCCACTGGCTCAGACAGAGTTTGCCCAAAATCATGGTCATTGAGTTGATACTATCTAACCATCTCGTTCTCTGCTGTCCCTTTCTCCTGGCAATCTACTCCTTTACCCTTGTCAAGAAAACCCCATGGACCAGAGGTGGTATTCAGCAGGTTCTGACCAGTTCTGGAGACCAGTAGTGGAAATTTTGAGTAGTTCAGAGAACTGGCAAATACCATCTCTGACTGGCAGGGGAAGGATATCACCAATATCCTTCCCCTGCCACACCCACCAAGCCATGCCCACAGAACTGGTAGTAAAATTTTTTGAATCCCACCACTGCAATGGACAGTATCAAAAGACTACCAACATAGCAAACTGTTAACATAGCCCATAATACAGCTGTAGGAGTCCCTGCATGAGGTTTGAGCAAGTGAGTAACTTTTCCATTCAGAATAATGCAAAGTTCCAAACACAAGACAATGCAACTTTCATATTAGCTCCTTCCCTTCCTCACAGCCTTCCAGGTGAAAATGTTGTTTCTACAGGATTTAATTTCCATGGAATTAACTGCACAGAGGGATGCCACTTATTACAATTCCTGTTTCATGTTCTTAAGTTACTATTTTAAACACTTTCACCTTTTAACCTGTTCCCTTTTTAAAAATATCCTGTAAGCCACTTAAGAATCTGGTTTCAGGCAGTCAGGTGTTTTAAAAATAAGTTTATTCTTTAAAAATAAATACAATGTCCACTTTTTTTTGTCATACAGGACACCCACATTTAGTCAGTCATACTTTTACCCATCATTTAAGAATTCAACTTGCTGTTTGCACAGTAGAAGACAACCTCCATTCCCACCCACTCCGTTTAATACAGTCTTTTTCAGCACATCATCATCCTCTGAAATCTTAAGTTTATACCAGTTGGTTGTCAGACCCACAGAACACAACATTCAGAAATAACGTCCACGGGTAAATTGAAAGAGGCTTTATTGTAGACAAGGAAAGGCCGCAGAGCCTTTTTTTTTTTATTTTCCTAAAGGGAGCAGCTGAGCCTGCTCATTTTCATATAGGGCGATTCTATGTGCGTGTCAGGAACATCATCCACACGATCACTGCTCCTTGGGCTTGTCTTCCCCGCCGGGACTCGGATCGGCTGCTTTCACATCGATGGGGATGGTGTGTTGCGCGGGCTCGGATTCGGCCAGGCGCGGGGCCTCGATGCACAGCTGCCCATCCGGATTCAGAGAGCAAGCGATGGCCTGAAGGTCCACATCAGGAGGCAGGAGGGTTTCCCGGCGCAGCTCTTGATGCTCCACCCAGTAGCCGCGGTCTTTGCTCTGGCTCTCCCTTTGGCGCTTGGCGGTCACCGTCACTTTCCTCCCCTCCAGGTTCACCGTCATCTCCTCGGGAGTAAAGCCGGCCACGTCCACCGAGAAGCGGTAATGGTTTTTACCCTCGGCCGGGCAGGCGTTCTCCTCCGAGGCTTCCTTGTGGCTTTCGCGCTCCCCTCCGAAAGGCAGCGGCGTCGCCTGGAAGAAGGCGCGGCTCATCTTCTCCATCTCTTGGAACTGCCTCTCCATGTCGGCCATCACGCGGTCCACGAAGCTGGGGTTGGCCGGCCACAGGGGCCTGCACGCCGGCTGCGGCTCGCTGAGCCAGATGGGGCCCAGGCCGGGCAGAGGCCAACGCCGCAGAGGGAGCATCCGGAGCAGGACGCGAGAGTAGCTCGCCATGGTGGCAGCGCAGCAAAAGCTCCCAAAACAAAACAACCTTCCACCAACCCGCTCTGTCAAGTTTCTGACAGGCCGGGCAGGCCGGGCCGCCTTTTATAGTCCCCGAAGGCCACGCCCCCTCGCGGTGAAGCAGCGTGGCCTTGGTTGTTGTTGGGTTTTTTTTTATGACGCAACAGCGTGCAAGACGTTTCCAAACAAATCTGGAAATCCGGCGGCGACTCCAGAGGCGCCTAGAAGGAAGAGTGAAATTCGTGCCAGCCCCGCTTGGTCCTTAATCCGCCCCGAAGGGCAGAGTAGGCTAGACGTGTTTGTGCTCCAGCAGCTTCCAGAAAAATCCAGCTTGTCCTAGACAAGGCTGCTCAGTCGGTATTCACACATACCTGCAAAGGTACCAACGGCTCTCCCCAAGGCTGGCGGTATCCATATTTTTTGATTGATTGATTTGTCAATCGCTCTCAAAATAATAGATATAAGTATAAACAGGAGTAAGAATACAGGAAATAGGTACGATTAAATGGGGACAATAGGACAGGGACAGGAGGCACGATGGTGCACTTATGCACGCCCCTTACAGACCTCTTAGTAATGGGGTGAGGTCAATAGTGGATAGTTTGAGGTTAAAGGAGTAGGGGTTTGAGGATATAACTACAGAGTTGTTATTGCCAGGAGCTGGCCTCCTGCTTTGGGGGATGGGAGTCCAGGAAAACACAGTGGTCACTAGGGCTTCTGTTTCAAAACCTGGCTCTTTTTCAGACATTTTGTACAATGGAGAAGAGTCGGCATCACTTTTTTTGACAGGATGCTAAAGAAGAAAACTGGGCATGAAGACTTCCCTTCACCCTAGAAGCGTGGGGGATGAGAAATTAAGACTGGTAGAAACTTAGCACCCACCCCTCTCCTGGAAGAATGAAATATTTTGATAAATATTTAAAAAGGCAGAATTATATGTCCCTGGATAAGAAATGGAGAAACATGTTTGTTTGTTTTTAGGGAGAAAGCAGCCCCCACTTTTCTTATTAATCCTCAGCAGATGTCAGCACTTAAGAGATAAAGAATTATTGGAAGAAGCCAAATATCTAGGTTGCTCTATTCATAGGCAAAGCAAATACTGCAGGAAGAAATCCATTCAAGACAGGATATTTTGAAATTCCCTGCACTAATAGAATTCTTTATTGGCTAAGTGTGATTGGACACACAAGGAATTTGTCTTGGTGCAAATACTCTCAGTGTACACAAAAGAAAAGATCCGAAGATCTGAACAAAGGTATAGGACTAGCCCTCAGCCACAGTAGGAATTGTCAAAAGGCCCTTCATTGCATCACCCTTAGAAACTTCAACCAAACTTAGCTAAGGCAAACACCTAGGATTTGTACTTTGTCTATAGAGCCAGCTATGATCCCTACATAACCCCTACACAGCCCCATGGGAGTCTGACAATAGAATACATGTTCTTGCACAGGAACAGGAAGCTCAAGTGCAAAGCCCAAGAGAAGATATAAAAATCCCGCACTCTCAACTCCATGTGGTCAGCTGCCCAGAACCCACGGGGTTCTGCTTCATCATTAAACCATCTTTCCAATCACCTCCGTGTCTCCAGTGTCTTTCTCCTGGCTTGGAACTGAATCAGATGGATATTTCTTCCCACAGATTCTTTCTGTGCGCAGAGATTGGTAACTATTAACTGCAAAGACTTTAAACTGAGATGAGCAAAGCTCTGAAATCTTAATTTGGCTTCTGGAGAGACAAGCAAATCCTATCATAGAAACAGGTGGATTTAAGGATTAGAAAGCCTTGGAGAGACTTTCTCCCCATCTTTAAAATCACTGCGAAAGAAGAAGAAAAAACAGTCCATGCTTATTTTTGCTGCCATAATTTTAACTGTTTTTTCCCCCTTATGGAGATCCTCAGTCATCTAGGTCATGATTGTCCCAAAGGTGCTTTTCCCAAAGGCAACTGGACTTTCTTGATTTTTTTTCCCCATTTCCCCCAGGATGACCTTCCAAATTTTCAGACAGACAAGGCAAAATGACCTGTGTGAAAATGGGCCATTTTGCTGCCTAATTTTAGTGGCGTGCTCTCAAATGGGGTGGTCCTTATCTCCATACAAGGGAACCTTTAATGCCTCCAGACTGTGTGTGGCTGCTTTTTGCTGCTTAAGGGGAGAAGATCAATTGTAATATGTCACCCTGTCTGCACACATTTCCTGTTCCATAATGCCTGGCTTATCCATTTTCAGTTTACGACATTGGAAGCACATCCAATTCAAAATCCAATCTGGGCAGATGGAAAGAGATGCCTACTTTGTGTGGTCAGAAAGTTTTCAGTACGTGTGATAGTTGAACCTGGAATACAAATTCAGAGAGTCTAGAGCAGCCTTTGCTTTAACACCACAGTATAATAAAACTAAGATTTTTGCATGAAGTCCTACATCCTGCTGGATCAAATCTGTCAGTAAAGGAGTCCATGGTGAATATGAAACTCCCCCCCACCTCCCCCAACTGCAGTCTTGGATCATCCTGTGTCAAAGCATGAAATGTGTAAAAAACAGTGCTCTGCATGGTGGAGGATGTACCCCTCAAGATTATTTTGGGGTACAAGTTTAGAATTCAAGCCTCCTATAAGTTCTATACAGCCAACAGAGAAGAGCATGTGTGTTGGTTTGTGTGTGGAGGTTATAGTCCAGAGGCTCCCAAACTTTTGGGTACCAGGGGCCAGTTCTGTGAGAAAAGCTTTTCTGCAGACCGGAGTGGGCATGATTTTGTGGGCTGCCTGCACCCCGCGTGTCTGTGGATGGGGTTTTGCTCGCTTGTGGAGACCAGTTTCTGGCACACCACCGACCGGTGGCCGTTCGCAGACTGGGGGAAGTGGTGATATTCAAATTTTTTTACTACCAGTTCTGTGGGCGTAGCTTGGTGGGTGTGGTATGGCTTGGTGGACATGGCAGGGGAAAGAAAATCCCCATTTCCACCCCACTCCAGAGGAAGTTTACTGTAAAATCCCCATTCCCTCCCCACCAACCTGCTTTCCAGCTCCGTTCTCCTGTGCAGGGCAACAAAAGAAGACCCAGCAGATCAGCTGGGACTCGGGAGGCAGAGAATAGATGGGGGCGGGGCCAGTCAAAGGTGGGATTTGCCTGTTCTCCGGGTCCTGGTGACTTTCTGGACAAGTCCCTGCAGTTTTCTGGGCAAGAGAAGTGGCCCACCATTGCTTCCTTCTAGGGCTGAGAGAGAGTGACTAGCCCAAAGTCATCCAGCAGGCTTTGTGCCTAAGGCAGGACTAGAATTCACAGGCACCCACTTTCTAGCCTGCTACCTTAACCACTACTAGACCAAAGTGGCTCTCAGGAAGAAGGAAGAAGGGAACAGGAAGAAGGGAAGAAGAAACTACCTTTAACATGCTCACCACTCTTCCTAATGGCTAGTTTTTATAGAAGGCAGGCCATTCAGGATGCTTACAGACAAAATGTAGGTAATGGCACTCAGTGATAAGATTTCTAAATCATAGTTGGTGTCTAATGTGTTGTCTGGACCCAGCCAATTAGGGCCTTGTTAAAGAAATCATGACAATACTCAGCATTATTTGAGGGACAGCCTCGTCCCAATTAAATTCATATGTTCCATCAGGTCTAGCAGAAATGGCATGTTGCAGGTTGTGTCTACAAAGGGGTATTATCTGATGGAACTAGGAGGAGAATATTTTCTGTTGCAGTGCCCACTCTTAAAAACATTATCCCCCTGAGGTCAGATTGGACCCAACCTCATTTTCCATAGAATAGAACAGAACAGAACAGAACACTTGGCCAAGTTGGTCAGACACACAAGGAATTAATCTCCGGTAGAAAAGCTCTCAGTGGACTTGCAAAACAATAGAGACAAAACAACCTTCCGGAAGAATCTCAAGCTGTCGGTTTTCCATCTGGCCTGGGGAATCTGGTGACATTGTTGGAGAGCCTGCTAAATGGTTGTATTTTTAAGGAAATGAACGGCGCACTCCTACAGATCATACTTTTTATGTTGTAACAGTTTTATTGTTTTTAAATTTTTATTTATCTGTTTAATTTTTATGCTCATTTCCCTAGCATTGTTTTAATTATTTTTGTGGTTATTTTGGGGTTGGGTTTTTATATTTTAGGAGGGGGAGATTTTTAACTCCATATGCCACCCAGTGTCACAGTGATGAGATACATGGCTGTATAATTTAATTAATATCTGCCTAGTGGTTGTTTAATTAAGCCCCAGTTGGTTGGCTTTTCATAGTGAATAAAACATGCCCATAGCAGGCATTAAATAGCTATTTTCTAATTTTTTGGTGGCTAATATCAAATTGAGGTTTTGAGTTATCTGGAGAAAGCTAGGCAGAGGGAGAAAGTGCTGGAATCTCTTACACTCTGTTGCATCATTCAGGAATCTTGGCCTGTTTCAGGTAACAGTAGGAGTGATTTTGTGTATGTCTTTTTTCTCAATTTCCACCAGGTGGCGAAGTTGCTAAAAAAATTAAATAATTTAAACTCATGGCAGGTTATAGAATTGAACACAATCCCAAACAGCCTCTGAGCGTTCTTAAACCGATCCATTTACATTGGAGATAATACTAGAATTACAGATAATCCTCACTTAATGTTTGAAATTACATGGACCTTCCCAGAGATATTTATGACCTGATTTCAACGTTCCAACAGCTACCTCTCCCACCCTTCATGGTTACATGATCATATTTTCTGGGCTTGGCAATAGGCTCGCACCTATGGGTGTTCTGCAGTCACATGACTGATTTTCAGCTTTTAAAAAAGGGCTTCCAGCATTTATTTCTGGTTTCTAGGGGGGCGGGGAGACCATTTGGAGAAAACAAGTTTATTTAAAAATCGCCATGTTCAGTAGTGAGTGTTCATTTAATGACCGCCACAAAAAAGATTGTAAAATCGGTCTGTTGGAAGAAATGTCCCTCTGGGTTCAGTTCCAAGTGGGGAAGAAAGACACTGGAAACATGGTGACTGCTTGGAAAGATGGTTTAATGGTGGACAGGATCACCTGACTTGGGTGAAGAAAGAAGGGCTGAGATGCTGAAAGTCCCTTGGATTTATACCCTCTGTTGGGATTTGAATTTGAGCTTGTATTCTGATTGGTTGTCAGACTCCCATGGGGCCATGCAGGGGCAACTCTGTAGGCTGTCTTGAGTCCCAGGCTTGGTTGAGCCTTGCTGGATGATGATGTAATGAAAGGGCTTTGGGCAATTCCTATTATAGTTCTATCTGGAGTAGGTCTTTGTTATGTAAAATAGACTGGCCTAGGCCAGAGTAATGGTCCATTAGCAGGGGGAGGGGCTGAGTTTCTGCCTCTCTGAGTTTCTACTTTTCTTTTTAGGGGAAATATTCTGCCTTTTTAGTATATCCTAAAATATTTCGTTTTCCTAGGAGAGGGGTGGGTTTTAATTTCTAACAGGTCGATCGTGATTATCTGCTGAATGACCACTATGACTTAACAACGATAATTCTGGGATCAATTACAGTTGTGAATTAAGGACAACCTATATTTATCACTAGCAGGACAGTCTGTAACAGATAACAGATAATCAAAGTTGGAAGGGACCTTATAGGTCATCTAGTCCAACCCCCTGCCCAAACGGGAGACCCTACACCATTTCTGACAGATGGGAGTCCAATCTCTTCTTGAAGATCTCAAGTGATGGCGCTCCCACAACTTCTGAGGGCAAGCAGTTCCATCGGTTGATTGTTCTCATTGTCAGAAAGTTTCTCCTTATTTCCAGGTTGAATCCCTTCTTGTTTAGTTTCCATCCATTTATTCCTTGCCTAGCTTTAGGGTGCTTTAGAAAATACCTTGACTCCTTCCTCCCTGTGGCAGCCCCTCAAATATTGGAAGACTGCTATCATGTTTCCCCTGGTCCTTCTCTTCACTAGACTAGCCGGCTCAGCTCCTGTAACCGTTCTTCATATGCCTTAGTCTCCAGTCCTCTAATCATCATGGTTGCTCTTCTCTGCACTTTTTCTTGAGTCTCAACATCTTTGTTATGTGTGGTGACCAAAACTGAATGCAGTTCTCTAGGTATGGTCTTATTACTACCTCACTTGATCTCAATTGCATCCCTCTGTTAATGCAATTTAGGATTATATTAGCTTTTTTGGCTGCTGCTGCACACAGCTGGCTCATATTTAGCTGGTTGTCCACTAAGACTCCATGATCCCTCTCACAGTTACTGCTCTTGAGCCTGGTTTCACCCAGTCTATATGTGTACTTTTGGTTTTTCTTGCCTAAGTGAAGGACTTTACTTTTCTCTACATTGAATTTCATTTTGTTAGATACGGCCCAATGTTCTAGTCTGTCGAGATCCATGTGGATCTCGAGCCTATCTTCTTGGATGTTAGCTATTCCTGCCAGCTTAGTATCATCTGCAAATTTGATAAGTTCCTCTTCTATTCCCTCATCTAAGTCGTTAATGGATATTGAAGAGTACTGGGCCTAAGACAGAACCTTGTGGCACCCCACTGCTTACTTCCCTCCATGTAGACTTAGAGGCATTAAGGACTAACTTGTTAAGTACGGTTTGTCAGCCAGTTGCGAGTCCCTCTGGTGGTGATGCTATCTATTCCCCTTTTTTCTAGCTTACTAAGAAGTAGGTTGTGGTCTACTTTGTCCAGTGCCTTGCTGAAATCTAAATATATTATGTCCACAGTATTTTGCTGGTCTACTAATTTCGTCACTATGTTGAAGAATGAAATAAGATTGGTTTGGCATGATCTGTTCTTAACAAATCCATGCTGATTGCTAGTTATTACTTTACTTGTTTCTAGATGTTGGCAGATCTGTTTTTTTATTATCTTTTCCAGTATCTTCCCAGGTATTGATGTTAGGCTGATTGGTCTATAGTTTCCTGGGTCTGTTTTTTCCCCCTTTTTTGAAGATGGGAACCACATCAGCTCTTTTCCAGTCCTCCGGTAGTTCCCTGGTGCTGCAGGATTTTTGAAAGATATGGTGCAGTGGTTCTGAGATGACCTCTGCTAGCTCCTTTAAAACTCTGGGATGTAATCCATTGGGCCCCGATGATTTGTGTTCATCAAGATCAGACAGGTGTTCTCTTACTATTTTTTTTTGCTTATTTTGATGTTATAAGGTGTTAAAACCCTAGCTTTTGTAATACAGACATGCAGGTTCTCCAAGCAGAAAATTCCTAAACATGATGTATTCCTCCAGATATCTGAATTACAGATTCCCTTCATCATCACCTGATCAAAGATTGTGGAATGTTATTAATTGGATTAAGTAATTACTGGTACAGTCAATCCTCCACTTATGGTCATAATTGATGCCAGAATTTCTGTTGTTAGACAGGATCTTTCTTGCCGCAGTTGTTAAGTGAATCACTGAGTTGTTAAGTTAGTAACACAGTTGTTAATTATTGAATCTGGCTTTCCCACTGACTGCATGTTAGAAGGTCGCAAAAGGTGATCATATGACCAGGGGAACATTGCAACCGTCATAAATATGAGTCAATTGCCAAGCATCAGAATTTTGATTGCATGACCATGGGGATGCTGAAGTAAATCGTGAAAGGAAACCTAACATCTCCTGCTTGGGCGGAGGGTTGGACTAGATGACCTACAAGATCCTTTCCAACTCTGTTAATCTGTTAATCCCCACCAAAATAGTCCCTTTCAAAGTCAGTTTTCACCTAATTTTGGAAGCACAGAGGGGCCACCACTGAGAAGATCCTATTAGCCTAATTCTGTTCTGAATGTAAAAAACCTTAAATTTTCAGCAGCTACGTTTACGAGTTCCTGGCTAATATGAAACTTATAATGGTTATTTATGTGGACAAGTTTCATGCTTGCTGAAGCTGTGGAATATTTCATTGGGATTTTAGAATTCAAATGCATGTATTATGAAAGATCGGAAAAGGAGCTAGTGTGCTATGTAAGAAAAAGATTATACATGTTGAAAAAAATCATTGCTCAATTGTGCTGAATAATTTTAGTTCCTGTTAGCTATTGTACTTAAGAAAAGGGCTGTGGAATTTGAGGTGGCTAGTTTATCTTTTCTTGTGGTGGTTACCTCTTGTATAAAGGAGTGAGTCAGCCCTATCACTCATCTTACAGTTTTAAGAGTGCTTAATGTTTGAGTTTCTACAGGGCAAGGATTCAAATTCTAAAAATAAAACTGACCAGAATACCTGGAGGAACACCTAGTCAAATGCCTTAATTTGATATTCCCGTGTTACAGATGAGGAACACTGAGGCTGAGAAATGAGTACAACAAAAAAGAGAAATATATATATTTATGTATTTGCTTTTTCAGGAAATGGATTCCCCCTAGAACAAAGTCCTGCTTAAACATACAGAGAGTCCCCACTTTACATTCAGACATTCTCCAATATTCATCTGAGAGCTAGATTCAAATTTGTGGTATAAATCTACTTCTCAATTTACCCTTCAGGGAAATGTTATCCATTTTGCTAACTGCTCCAGTACTGTATTGTCTATATTGGCAAAGGAAGGATGTTGGGCCAAAGAAATGGGACACTTCTGATTTTTTTTCTCGTTAACTAAAATAAACCACTTTTCTACTTCTTCCCATCCTCTTTCTGAAAAGATGTTCTTATCAGGTTCTTATCCCAAAAGCAAATTAAATTGAATGCTTAGACGTTGGGACTGATTGATTCAGGAAGTAAAACTGTTTACAAAGCTAATAAAAATCTGTTTTTAGAAAAGAAAAGAAAAGCTGGCAATATTTTAACTGAGCAGCAAAAATATAAATATTGGACTGAGAATCAAACCCTTTTACCAACTTGTTCACATCACTTTATCCCACCTTTAATTATTCTACATCACAAATTCTTTCCATGAGAATTCTAGTAAATGAAATAATTCTCTCCAACTTGCTACCCACTTCTCCCCCCCCCCAAGTTCATTTGAGAATTGATTATCCTCCAGATCTTATAATTCCATATCTAAAATATTTATTAGCAGTGCACATTTCTTCATGCTTTCCAGCAATGCAGTTTTTAAAAAGTCTCTTTCATCCAGCCTCCTTCATCCTTGAGCCCGGCTGTTTTCTGTGGGTGTGGATTCTTCAGCTGCTGGTTGAGGTTCGTTTCTCACTCGGTTGACCGCAATGGGCACCGTCCTCATGGCCGCTTCCGTCACAGGACCTTCGATGCGGAGCTGTCCGTCGCTGGAGATGGAGCAACTGAGCTGATCTCGGTCCACGCTCTGGGGCACGTCCCACGCCCTCCGGAAGAGCTCGTAGCGGAATGGTCCGTTGGGCATCTCGCTGGCTTTCCTGCCCGTTAGAACCACTTTCTCCCCTACCAGCTTCACCACCAGTTCCTGGGGGTCAAATCCAGCCATATCTTGAGTCACTGCAAAGGTGTCATTGGCGCTTGGGGTCTCCAAGCTGTGGATGGTTTCATGACTGACCATGCTGCTGGCTGCGGGCCGCCAGTTGCTGGTCAGGAGCTCCCACATAGAGTCCATCTCACGCTCCAGCTCCTCAAAGAGTGAACCGGTCCGGGGCCATAAACCTCGGCTTCGCAGGGAGTTCTGAGGGCCTGTGAGGTGCAGTCTGCACAGCATCTTGGTCTCTCTTCTGAATAAGCTGAGCCCGGTGTGTCTCTGTATGCTGAGAGCTGCTGTATGCTCAGCCTCTAGGATTCAGCTCCCTTTTATTCAAATTCTCACCTCGCTGGAATATTTTTGATGTGATGCTTCCCCACAGTAAAGAATTTAACTCATCCCTTGGGCATTTCATGAAAATTACTCAGCCACCCAAACTGGTACCATGAGACAACCTCACCCAATTTTCAGCGCTGGCCTCATTTGTTTGGCCTGTGCCTGGTTTATAATTAGGATAACTTTCGCTCTCACTCTGTCCAAAATAGAATATGGAGTAATGCAAACTAAGCCAGGAACAGCTGCTGCCGGTAAACACCCAGGCACGATGCTTAAGAACGGAGGCCTTTATAAACTAATCTAGTTTTCCTCAGGCTTAACATTTTTCCTTAGGCATAGAGACTGATTATATCACAAAAGAAGAAGAAATGGCTAGCTAATAAACATTATATTATTTCATGGACTCCAAATTAAATATTAGCAGAATGTTAGGATTGTGACAGTCCATATAGTTCTCAATTTAACCACAATTAAGCCCCAAATTTATGTTCCTCAGGGAGTTTTGCCCCAGTTTATTTCCTTTCTTGCCACATTTGTTAAGTGAGTCACGGCTGTTGTTAAGTTAGTAACACGGTTGTTAAGTGAATCTGGTTTCCCCACTGACTTTGCTTGTCAGAAAGTTGCAAAAGGGGATAACATGACCCCCTGGGACACTGCAACCGTCATGAATATATGAACCAGTTTCCAAGTATCCAAATGTTGATTAGATGACCATGGGGATGCTGCAGTGGTCATAAGTGTGAAAAATGGTCTTAAGTCACTTTTTTCAGTGCCGCTGTAACTTTGAATAGTCACTAAACAAACAGTTGTAGGTCAAGGGCTACCTGTAGTACATTTAGCCACCGTGTGATTTCTTTTGTGATTTTGTACTCTGTATCCTGTAAACCACACTTAAGCGCTGAATATATTGTGTAATTACAGATAATGGTGGCTTATTCCACTACCAGGATTAACTAGATAGATAGATAGAATTCTTTATTGGCCAAGTGTGATTGGATACACAAGGAATTGGTCTTCAGTGCAAATGCTCCCAATGTACATAAAAGAAAAGATACATTCACCAAGAGTCAAGAATCATAACGAATAGAATAGAAATAATAGACTAGAATAGAATAGAACCAGAACCAGAACCAGAACCAGAACAGAATAGAATTCTTTATTGGTCAAGTGTGATTGACTGGACACCCAAGGAATTTGTCTTGGTGCAAATGCTCTCAGTGTACATAAAAAAAAGATACATTCGTCAAGAGTCAAGAATCACGAGGTACAACACTTAATAATAGTCATAGGGCACAAATAAGGAATCAAATCATACTAGGAAACAGTCAGTAAAAATTGTTAGGATACAAGCAACAAGGTTACAGTCATACAGTCATGAGTGGGAGCGGACGGGTAACTTAGTGTGATTTGTGTACCCATTGCATTTCGTAAAGTGTGCTGTACTGCTTAATATGATGTATCAGATGGGACTTATTCACTAAAGTGCACTTCACTAACCCCAGGTTTGCACAGTAAGTGAACCTAGTCAGCCCAGGTAAGTAGCTGCTTAAACCACAAAATGTATATTTCATTTCTTTCCAGTGATGACATTTGGCTGCGTTGGGACCAGACAAATTAACACAGTTGAGAAAGTCCAGAAATATTTCACAAGAAGAATTCTCCACTCCTCTACTCATTGCAGAATACCTTATGCTACCAGACTTGAAATTGTAGACCTAAAAAATCTAGAACTATGCCGCCTTCGGTCTGATCTAAGTATAGTATATAAAATCATACACTGCAATGTCCTACCAGTCAATGAATACATCAGCTTCAACCATAACAACACAAGAGATACAAACTCAAGGTTAATCGCACCAAACTTGATTGCAGGAAATATGACTTCAGCAACAGAGTGGTCAATGTCTGGAATACTCTACCTGACTCTGGGGTTTTTTTCCCCAAACCCCAAAAACTTTAACCTTAGACTGTCTACTATTGACCTCACCCCTTTCCTAAGAGGTCTGTAGGGGGCGTGCATAAGCGCACCAATCGTGCCTACTGTCCCTGTCCTATTGTTTCTTTTATATATTTTTTATTTTTCTTATATGTATCCATGTATTCATAACTATGTTTTTACTTATACCTATTATCTTGTAAGCAATTGACAAAAATAAAATAAAAAATAAATAAATAAGAACAGAAAGAGCTACGAAGGGTGTAGAAAATAGCTTAAATCTCCCAAGTGACATTGGAAGTTAGGCAACGTTTTATAGTGGTTCTCTTCCTTCTAGTTGGTGTCGGTTGCTGGGCAGGGATCATCCCCTAGGCCCCTCACTTGTGGGGTGCCATAGGGTTCTATTCTCTCTCCCTTCCTTTTCGATTTCTATTTGAAGCTGTTGAGTGAAGTTATCTGCCAGTTTGGAGTTTGGTAGCGTCAGTACATGGATGACAACCAATTGTATCTTTAGACCTTGTTGGCCAAGTGAGGCTATCAAGGTTCCATCTCCCTCCACCATTGTTGTCTCTTTGTCTTGTACTGTTTAATGTTTTCTGTGTCCTTTGTTTTTTTAAAAGGTTTTAATGATTGTAAACTGCCCAGTGTTGCTGGCAGTTGGGCAGTATATGAATTTAATATATGGTTGGCTGCACAGTCAGCCATATATTTAGATTGGATCTGGCATGTTTATCTACCTATCAAGTCCTTCCCAAAGGATCTATCAGCAGGTTTTGATGTTTGATGCTGTTAAAGATATCGTTGCAGGATGTAAGCTGTTCCAAATAAAACTGCCTTTTGCCAATTGACTGATGGGGATTTTGTCAATGCTGATCGTGTTCAAGTGGTGCTCCAGATGTTTTGGGATTTCATCCAAAGCATCTATTACTAGTAGTACTATCTTTTAACATTAATTCATTATTAAATACATTTAGTTAGAATAATAATAATTTAAAATATGTTTAATGTTAAACAACAAACATGGCTAAATGGCAGCAATCTCAGGTAAGCAATCTCAGGCCTGGTAAATATTTGATTGGGAGATCACTGGACATTGAGGCAACTTTCAAAAAGACAACAATAACTATCTGGTTCTGTACTGTTGACAAAAAAATTACAGGAGCGGAATTGAACTTGATCCAAGAAATGACTTTTCCTTTAATCAGAGAAGAAGGAATGCTCAGTGGTTGTTTCCCTACCACCCCTCCCCCAATTCAGGCAGGAATGAGCCCCAATTCTTATGACCTTCTGAAGAATATGGGTAGCGCTCAAATTATGACTATCATGGAGCATGTGGTGGTGGTTAAGCCAACATGGCGGTCAGAAAACAACCCCATTGTTCACTATGGCATAGTTTTGCCAAAAAGTGGGAGTAAGTGCTGGTTTAGAGCAAAACCTTTGTAAAACGTGGCCAACTACCTTCCGGATGCTGCAAACAGCTGTAAATGCAGACATGTTGTTGAGTGTTTAAGTGTGGTCATGTGACCGTGAATTGAGGAGACAACTGTTAGAACTTTGGATTCAGGTTGTAAGTCCCCTTTTTTGGATCCATCATAATTTCAAACAGACCAGTTGTTAATTGGGGATTGCCTATAGTTAAGACCTGGCTCTTCTATAAGGCGGCCTTTGGAAATTAACAGGTGTAGTAAGATGTACATTGTGATATTATTATCAATATTTTAAGGTGATTGATATGCCATTGTGAAATAGTTATATTATGGGTGACATGAAAGCAGGGTTCTAAGAGGCTGCCGCAAAGAAGAGCAGGTCAAGCTATTCTCTAAAGCTCCTGAGAAACAACTTAGAACTAAGAAGAAATTTCCTTGATAGTTAGAACAATTAATAGGTGGAATAACTTGCCTCCAAAAGTTGTGGATGCTCCAACACTGCAGGTTTTTAAGAAGAGATTGGACAACCATTTGTCTGAAATGGTATAGAACGGTGGTGTCATACTGGTGGCCCACAGGCCAGATGCATCACATCCAGGCCATGCCCACCCCAGTTGCATGAAGGGAAAAAAAAAAGTCATGATATATTACATGACAGCAACGTGATGCCGCAAGTTTGACATCTGTGGTATAGTGTCTCCTGCTAGAAGACCTCCAAGGTCCCATCCAACTCTGTTATTCTGTTACACTAAATTATGATTGTATTAAACCAGAGGTGGGTATTCAGCAGGTTCTGACTAGTCCTGGAGAACCAGTAGCGGGAATTTTGAGTAGTTCAGAGAACCGGCAAATACCACCTCTGACTGGTCCCGCCCCCATCTATTCTCTGCCTCCTGAGTCCCAGCTGATTGGCTGGATCTTCTTTGGTTGCCCTGCACAGGAGAACAGAGCTGGAAAGCAGGTTACTTGGGTGGGGCGGGAATGGGGATTTTACAATATCCTTCCCCGGCCACATCTACCAAGCCACGCCATGCCCACCAAGCCACAGAACCTGTAGTAAAATTTTTTGAATCCCACCACTGATTTAAGCATGGTCTAGAACCATGTTTTTCAATTGTAGTAAACTGAAGATGTGTGGAATTCAACTCCCAAACTGATTAAAGTTGCTAAGGAATTCTGGGAGTTCACACTGACTGGCGAATTCTGGGAATTGAAATCCACACAATTTAAAGGTTGCCAAGATTGAGAAGCATTGGTTTACAACCTCTGGAGGGAGGTAGTTTAAAAAAAATCTTATCAATGAGCATCTCCCCCTTTATTTAAGTTTTCTTCTCTCCTTTGTCATCTAAAAAAATATTGGAGGGCTCCAGTTGTCACCTGCAAATCTTCCAGAAGGGTCAAGTTTTATACATCGGTGTTTTAAAAAAAATGGGTTAGTAGAATTACAAATGCATCTCTCTTCTCATCAACAACCTAATTGGAGGATGTGCAGTTTGGCCCTAGATATTCACTGACATCATAGGAGAGACTCGGTATGAAACATGAATGGAACTCATAGCATAGGAATACACACATCCCAGTGTCACTGCATGTTTCTGGAA